GACCAAATTATTCCCATTCCAGTTTCCAGCAGGATGACGACCTGAGTTTCAAGGTGCTGCCTGCCTGCAGCTCATGGGTGGTCTCTCTTAAACGTTCCTCGACTTCAAACAAAAAATGTTGATTTATCACTGGTGGTAGGAGTACTGAGGCCTCAACCAGTGTAAGATCAGGTTAAAAATCCTTCAGTTCTTTAGTAGTTTAATATTATTTGACTCAAGATATGCAAAGCCTCAGACTGCTCAGTATGCAGCATGTAACTTCATGATGCCCTCTTTTTTTTTTTTTTTCCTTCTAAATCTGAAGTTCATCTTAGTTCCAAAATATTGTTTTGGAAATTGATCTTGCCTCCAAAGTTCATAGCAATGCTCTGAACTCCTTTAATCGTGCAAGATCAGGCCCTCCCTGAACATACACATCTTGAACAAAGCTAGGAAGAGAACGTGGCTGAAAATTTGTTTTTAAAAAATGCTCTCTCTTGGTGGTATGAGATCAAAAAGAACAGCAAGACAACTTCTCCATGAAATGACTGTAAGGTGCTACCTGCAGCTCCAACAGGACAGTTTGCTTCAATGCAACCTTTCTGAAGGAGCATTTGAGCTCTATTTGTCAAAATGTATTGCTGGTGATTTTTCTCCATATGAGATTACTAGTGTTTCAGGAGAGAAAATAAAAAATAAAATCAGTGTCTTCTTCAGCTTTTGAGGGGAGACGGAGCTTTGGGATGATTAAGGGCTGCACTAGGCATAAATGGCAGCTAGAAAACTGTGTTTCTAGAAACTGTCATCTGATAATTCCCACTACTCTCTTTTTCTTCTAAGAAAAACTTAGGTGAGTTGTTTGATCTTCCAGTCTTTCCTTCAGATTTAAAAAAAAAAAAAAAACCAAACAAACTGCTGAGGAAGCAAGCTTGCTGATAAAAAGAGCTTCCTTTCGTTTTCAGTAGGTGTTGCATCTCAAGTAAAGAACATCTTGGACTGGTCACAGTCAGATATGATTACTCAATTTCAAAGTAATCCAAATGAAGTAAAAATATTTTAGTCCCCTAAATCATTGTCTGGGACTGAGAGGAATGAAAAGCCACTGCAATCTATGTGACTAAAGAAATAACTTTTCAGACACACGTTGGTGTAAACAATGAGTAGACTCCTGTAATTAATTCTTCACAAAGGCATTCAGTGGAAAAAAAAACGGGAAAGGATGAGACGGGATGATTACATCACTTGAAGATCCTCACTGTTGGCTTGCTGGCTTGTTGTACAGATGCTGCCTTCTGCAGTGAGCTCTGTAAAAACATTCAGCTGCTTGTTTTCATGTTTCCTGGTTAAGGTTTTCACTCGCAGGGTCTCAGCATTTCGTGAGCAATCGCCGCAAACGCACAACTCCAGTGGACTCGGTGTCTGGTGGGGAGTTTGCTCTCACTGGAGGTGGATCAACTTCCAGAAAATATGGCAGGTTTTTTTTTTTTTATTCCTCTCCTGCTTAAATTATGTGCGTGTCTTAGGGAGAAAAATGGTTGGAGGCAAGAATCCGTAGGTAGTTTCTTTATGGAACCCTGCTGATTAAACAGCGACCGTGACAGCATCTGAGACCGAGGGTCTGTTGCTATGCTTGGATACAGAGAGGAAGACAACCAGTCAAATGTTTCTATTCCCAAAGCTGGTCTTATGGTAAAGCTGATAGAGCACCTGTTTAAAATGAGTAGCTCCTCACGGGGATGGAGTCGAGCAATGACAGAAGTCTGTAAAGTCTGATATCTGAACGGATTGCTTCTCTGAAGTTTTTTCTTATATCTTGTAAATGTAAGTAGGGCCCTTCCAGCTTTATCTCTGTGCACTTAACGAGTCAGAGTCACTCATCTCTCAACATACAGATTCTGTAAGGTTTTGACTTCATTTCTTTTTATAGCATTCTTTTGTGAGGCTGTATTTAAATAAAGTTAGACATGGGCTTTTCTAGGGAAGAAGTCATTTCTCTTTCTTCTGTCAGACTTGCTTGTCAGATGTGCCTCTGGACTACCCTCTGTATTTTTTCAGAATACTGTCTATCTCACATTAGCCTTCATTTGATATGGATCCATAACTGATTTTGGTGCTACAACAGAACATCTTTCTCTAACCTCCTACATCACATTCTTCTGCCAGTCATGAATTCGCTTTACTTCACATGCATACACTTGCTTAATCTCTACATGAAATCATTACAACTTGAAGCTGACATACTCTTTCAGAACGATCCCCAAACAGTAAATCACGACATATTCCACGCTCTTCCCACTCTGCACTACAGAATTTAGCACTTAATGAAAAGCACGCGGAAAATGCACTTGAACTCGGCAGTGAATCACGAGACAGACAGCTGGTAACAAAGCCCTTACCTTTTTAAACGCATGATGGTCTCTAAGTGGCACAGAAACCGTAGCCCGAAAAATGCAGGTCTCCTGCCTTCCGATGTACGCTGACAGTTTACACCCTATTTCCTTCCCCTCGCTCCTTCCACCACGCTACATATAGTTCATGGTGCTGTTGCCGGGATTGGCTGGTGCATCTCTGAGGCGCACACAGGACCGTGCCTGGAGCACCCGCAGCCTCGTTAACCCTTTGCGGGGAGGGCTCCCTTCCCTGCGGGAGCCCCGCCGAGCCCGCACCGACGGGCGGGCACCGCTCCGGGGGCTGATTTCCCTTCCCTGCCAAACGAGCTGCCCTGTCCTGCCGAGGATGGGGAGAGGATGGAGAGGGAGCGGCTGGCGGGGGGTCCCGCAGCCGGGACCGGCGCTGTCGGTGCTCGCTCCGCCCGGACCCGGAGCCCCTCCTGCTGCTGCGGGCGACGGGTCCCCTCCAGCCCCCGCCTCTCCCAGTCCCCTCCCGCCCCTTTTTGGTACCTCGCCCCGGGGACACACAGCTCGGAGGAGCGGCTGCCCAGGCAGGCTGGACGCTGACACGCATCCTTAAAGGTATTCCCTGTGCCAGAGCCACATCCCTGCGTGTCCGCCCTGCCACTGCCAATGTTGGAAATTGGGAAATTACCTCCCGGCCAAATGGGAGTCCCAAAGCCACACGGCTTCGGGGGAGATGGAGACAGCAGAGGAGGTGGAGGTAATCCTTGGCAGTGACAGGCACAGGCAAGCAGGGAGCCTGGACACCTAAATACAGGGAAGAGGGCTGTTTGGGAGCATTCCCTCGGGAATGGGCCATTGGGCTCGGGAGGTATTTACACGCCGCCAGTCTATTGTACAAAAAGCAACAGAACCACCACAGCAAAGAAAAAACCGCCTGGCTGCTGCTCGGTATTCTTTTTTTTCTGAGTCATCCAGCACGATACGAGCAGAAGGTATCCCTGGGCTGGGAGTGCGGAATGCTGGAAATCAAGGGTAATAGGAATCTTCTCTAGTAAGCATGCCTGACGCTCGCTTGTTGCAATCGCCCATTAAGCCCATATTAATTGCATTAATTTACTTGGTGGTGTAGGCAAAGGGTTTGGTGTGTGTCCCCCTCGCCTTCTGCTGAGTATAGAAACGCCACCCGCTCCAACCTGTGTCACTCGCTGCCCAGACACAGTTTTACTGCCATCCGTCACAGTGCCTGTGAGCTACGCAACTCCGCTGCCCTCATCCTGTGTCCTACCATCTCCCACCCCCGTCGGCAGAGGGAATATCGAGTGCTCTTAAATCCGGGAAGTATTCTGCTGCTGGGCACATAAATCTCTCCTGCAGAGCGCTCGCGTTTAAGCAGCACGGCGAGGAGATGCTCACCGGCTGAGCTATTCCCCATCGCAAGCTAAATCCCTCAGGACTTCCTGGTTTTTGGTTGTTTGGGTTTTTTTTTTCCCTCAATGCTAAGGAAAAAGAAAAAAAAAAAAGATTAAAAATCAGGTAGAGGTTTTGAAACGCACTGTAATCCTCTCTACCTAGGGAGGGAAGGGAGTATGACTGCACAGAAACTTTCCTGAGCAGACTGGTGCGGGAGGATCCCGGCGGCAGCAGCGCCAGAGGCGGGTAATTCAGGAGACACGTCTGGGATTTGGTTAATCACCTCAGACTCGTGGAAAAGGCCGGGGCAGGAGGAGGTGGGGGCAGAGGGGCAGGTCGGCGGGAATGGGGAAACCGCCTGGAGGACAGTCTACGAGAGAAGGACACTCAGCTGGAAGGAGATGTGGGCATGGGGGCTTCGAGCTGGTGGGAGAAGAGAGGAGCCGGAGGAAGGGTGGATTTTGGATCCCACGCTTGAAAGGTTTTTTCACTCCCCCTTTCCCTAAATCAGCCAGCAATTTGGAGGCCGGGAGTGGGGGGGAGAGGAGGTGGAAAGAAAAGCAGGGGGTAGCACACTCGGGCACTGAAAGGGCCATTGGGGCTTTCCCGTCTTCTGCTTTATTGCCGCCAAGCAATAAATCGGGATCCTGTGTGTTTCTCCCTGGCATCTCCACCTGCTTGCAAACCTTTAGCAGCCTCCTTGTGATCTCTGCATGCACTGCTTTGGAGACACGGCTGCGCACACACGGACACACACACACACACCTCCCCTGCACCCGAATGACAGCTACACGGAGCCAGTCAATACCTCCCAGCGAGAGGGAACGTTTCCTCCCTACCTTCTGCTATTGACCGTGGGTGGATCTCTGACGCTAATTAGAGACACAGAAATCCTCAAAGTATTAACCACAAATAGCACTCTTGAAGGCACTTGTCCTTTTTTTGACTTAGAGCGTTTATTTCCCTTAGTTCTTCTCTATTTTTCTTTCAAAGTAAAGAAGCCCCTACTTGATCCAAGAGACACTCTGCGCCCCAGGTAGATATACAGGGTGTACGTTTTGGGAAGACGACGCCTCTTCTCCTACCCTGCACTCCTCAGGCCGGCCGAAAATACAGGCATTCCCCAAAACAGTAGTGAGTAAAATCAGGTGCGCTGGGATTGAGACATGCGGGAAGGGCACGGAGCGAGCAGCGACAGCGGCAGGGACAGAAGCCCCGCAGCCGCAGGGCAGGAGCCCCCACAGCCCCCGCTGCTCCCCCGCACGCCCGGCCGCCCTCGCTCGAGCCGCTGCCACCTCCCAGCCCATTCCACGGGACTGGAAATCCTTTCCTATCCTTCTGGAGAATCCTTCCCCACCTCCAATCCAATCCGAGTTCTTCAGGGGATCAGGAAGAGCGATGAACTTTTCCACCTGATCTCCCCCCGCGGATTCCCAGACACTCCTCAGGCACGCTCACGGCTCCCTCGGCCACCAGCATTTCTGTCCTTTCCTCTACACGGCGGGGGGGGGGGAAACCCTGAGCCCTTCCAGCATCCACGGCTTTGCCTGCAAGGGTTAAACCAGGGAATGGAGCAGGTGAGGCGCCCGATGGAAACATGACTCGAATGTGGTGAGCAAGCGGTGAGATGGGGACGGCTCTGGGAGCGGTGCTGCGGTGCGCGCTGCCAACAGCGCCGGGCACTGGCGATGGATGTGGGCACAGGACTGGTGCTTCCTAATTCCTTCGAGTTTAGAAAGTGGAGCCAGCTCGGTCAGGAGCAAGGCGAGGCAATACTTTTTTATCATTTTATTATTTTTTTATTATTATTTTTATTTCTCCCTGTCGTTAGCGTCCTTTCTGTCGGAGACACGCCACCCTGAACGCGAAATCAAACCTACTCACCGGCTGAAATCGCAGGAGGCGAAGCGGCTGCGAGCAAAACGCGTCCCGGCTCCGAGCACATAGTCCATGGTCTGCGGCTTCAGGCTAGAGCAGGGCTGAGCAGGGCGGGGGGACTTGGGGAACCGGCAGCAGTTCTGTGTGTGAAACAACCCATTTACACCGTGCGTGCCTGTCTGTGTGTGTGTGTGTAGGGCAGAGAGAGGCTCCAGACCCAAAACGGGGAAAGGAGGGGAGGAGGGAGGGAGGAGAGAGAAGGAGGAGGAGAGAGGGAAGCAAACCCGAATAGCGAGAGGAGTTGCGGGGAGGAATGGGATTTGCTGGGGTTGAGGTGGGGTTTTTTTGGTGGTGATGGAAGCGATTCTCGAGGAAAGAATAATAAACCGCGGGATCTCAGCAGCAGGCAGGATGGAGAGGGGCTTTGCCCAGGCAGGTGGAGCACCGAGCAGTGGGAGGCTGGAGCGAGCCGGGCGGGCCACAGAGGGCCGGGGGGGCGGCTCAGCCACCGGCCGGGGCGCTGGGGACGCCGCTGGTCGGGCTCGGGGTCCGCGGGGCTCGGGGGTTCGGGGGGCTCGGAGTCCACGGGGCTCCGGGGCCGCGGGCATTCGCCACCTGCCTCGGGGCGGGGGAGCGGCGCAGGGGGAGCCGCGGAGCGGGGACAGCGACACAGCCGGGTAGGGCTCCAGCGAGCCGCAGCGGCGACATCGACCGGGTAAGAGCATCCCAGCTTCCTGCTCGGCCCCCACCCTCGGCCAACCCTTTGTTTCACAGCCTTTTATTTTATTTATTCCGCAGCCCGGCTGTCGGAGGGGCTCTCCCCGCATCCCCTCCCCGCCGGGGCCGCTGTCCCTTCGTGCCCGGCAGGGAAGGGCTGCGGGTCCTGGAGCGGGGAACAGGCTGTGGGAGCGGCGCGGGGAGGAGACACCGCGGCGAGGAACCTCTGCGGAGGAGGGAGGGTGGGCGGAAATGCCGCTGCTCATCACCCGTGCCCCTCTCCTGCCCTGGGTAAGAGGAGCATCTCCCCTTCATCCCCCTCTTCATCCTCCCCCCTTTCCTTCTCGGCGCTTCCAGGCTCTCTGTATGGAAATCACGACCTGGCTCGGTGGAAAAATCTCCCTTTTCTTCACATAGTGCCTCTGGAATGTGTGCGGAATCTCAAGGTGTGTGGAGGAGAGGGAGGCAGTGCCAGCATTTATGGAGCTCGGTGTGTGTCCCCCCCTACCCCTAGTCCCTCTCCTCCATCCGTGCTGTGAGCAGACACGCGTTCATGGCTGATAAAACCGCTTTTCCCCGTGTATAATTGGGCTGAGAGCTAAACCGAAAGCCAGTCCGTGTCCGGGGAACAGCCTGCAGATCAACCAGGAGCTTTGGCATCCCTGCGGTGTAGCCTGGCTGTGTTCACCTCATGCTTCCCGGGATCGATAAGCACACTAACCATACCCATTATGTGATGTATGCGTTGGGCAGTACGGAGTGATGGCAGCATTACACCAGCACTTGTCTGCTGTGCTACGTGTGGTCTTCAAAAAGAGATGGTAATTTCTGTGGAGCTTTTTGATCAAGAAAGTTTTTGTCTTCTCTCCATTAGCTCTGTAAGCACCAGTTCACGGCCGTTTGCCAGTCTGGCAGTTTTATGTTTCCAGAATCTGTCACGAGATATTCGGAAAACCACAGAAACCCAAGATTCCTCTGGCATCACGTGGGTTTGTTCCTGTCAGCATGTTTAATCATTTTTATGCTAAATGAGCTGATCTTAGTAATGATTTGCCCTGCTTGGGGTTTTATTGACTTTTTCATTAGCAAGGAGGTAAGAAAAGGACTGAAGGAAGGATGCTACAGTTTGTCAAAAACATGCAGTGTCCATTTCAATTGTAGTAGCTGTTAAATATGTAGGCATATGTATGCTGCCTTATGCAGTTATAAAGTGAAAGGCATGCCATCTTGCCTCCTTGCCTCAGAATATGATTTCTCTCACAGCAACAAGTAGCACAGGCTCTTCTCTCCCCTTTTCTCCTCCCCTTCAGCCCCTCCTGACAAAATGCCAGTTACAAAGGTCAGCCTGTTTATGTAAAGACTGTGTGTTTCTTCACAAAGACTGCTGCACATCAAGCCTGCAATGACTATCAAATAGACTTGGGATTCAAGACACTCAATAAGAGCACTGTCCATTTTCTAGGACTGATAAAACGGAAGACAAAGAGCCGTAGTGTGTGACTGGGGTAGGTCTCCAGCACCAGGGTGCACACAGGGAGAAGTGTCTTCATAGCAGTGTTTGGTGCTGCAAATGTTGGCAGGATCCACTGGAGCTGTGTATGTACCTATGTGTGTGTGTGTGAGAGAGAAGGTGTGAAAACAGATTTGCTGATATGCTAATGCTCTTCTGCTCTTCTCTTTAGGTTTGGTCCTCTCTCTAACGATGTCCTTAGGCTGAACTTGCTTTGCAGCTCCTTCACACCAAAGGCAGCTTAAATCAGCCAAGGAGAATTTTGAGTCCGACCAACCCCACCCTCCCAATAGAAGAGAAGAGATCGACTTCATGAGTCTTTGGCTTCGCAATGTGGTGTTTTCATTTCATAGCATCCAGAGGTGCAGTGCACATGGTCTGATCTTTATTTCACCGTGCTCTCTTTCCCTCCCTGCCACGCTCTTTCACCCGAAGAGCAGTACAACTTGGTTTCCTCAACTAGTATAACCTCTGCTGGCCCTTTTCCACTTTAAATCTAATAAGAACATTCTGATGTTATTCACTTCCTAGAATTATAGAATCACAGAATGGTTTGGTTAGAAGGGACATTAAAGATCATCTCGTTCCAGCCCCCTAACACAAGCAGGGACACCTTCCACTAGACCAGGCTGTTGGTTTTTAACCTAAAGGTTAAAAAAAGTTACTTTATAATTACAACACAGATCTGCAACAGTGGTCAACTCCAAGACCTAATTGTGGCCACAGTTCACTTTTGGCTCTTAAAAATCACCCTGAAGCAGAGTTAAAGGGTTGTAGAGGACTATGGTGCTTTTTGTTCAATGATGTTAATAATCTATGGCCTTAGAATATGATATCACAAAGTCTCATCCTAGGGCAGAATAATGAAATCACAAGCAATGGAACGGGCCAGAAACTTATATCACTCCCCAAAATGCTAAATGCAAACTGGGACCCAATCTGAACTGAGGAGCTGCACATCTGATGTGAGAGGGGAGGGGCACTTCAAGTCCTCCCGTCCTAAAAGCCTCGTGGCCCTGAATTACAGGCCATTAGATTCCTTTGTCCTGTAAATCTGCGTTAAATAGCAGCGTGATTCTGTGTCGGTAAACGCAGGTTTTAACAGCTTATCCCATAATATTTTGATTTTTCTTTGCTTCATCTATTCAGCCTTTTCACCGTTTTTCTCCCAGGACCTGCTTATGCTTCCCTTTAGCTACCGAAAAACGCATGTAATTTATTAAGCCAGTTCGGTAGTTCTCTTAGTTTCCAGCAGACAAACCTATTATGCAAACAATACTGTCACCTTCTCGCAGTGCCTTCTCCCGGCTGTAATGAATTCTCTGCATGCTACTCTGCTGTAAATTCTCCATCTAAAAATTCCACGCGCTGCGTGTTTTGTCAGGGGAAACTGTACTTGACTTTTGAAACAGTTGGGAGGAACAAAATGATAACCTACTAAAGTGCCTTGCCCTTAACTGAAATTATGGCAAGTAATTAAAGTTAGAGCAGGAAGACTTAAACTTTGGACTGCTTATGTTCTTAGCGTTTTTGCTTGGATGAGGGTTTTTTTTTTTTAGGTGTCTGATTTGAATGTCAAATTTGCATATTCATCTAGAAAACATAGGGAATGCTTAATTGCCTGTGTCCAGTGTTCCTATTTTTCTTGGGAAACAATGTTTCATATACTCGTGGGTTTCATTTCTAGTTACTATTTGCATCCATAAATTGAACTGGGTGTCTAAACAAGTCCTGCATTTGCTGATTATACAAACAAATATGCCATATTTAGAATTTTGCTTTATAATCATATCAGAGATACCTGGAATTGCAGAACAGCCCGGGTTGGAAGGAAAAGGGAGCCTAGACGAGATTATCTAATGCCCTGTTCACTCACATATTGAAACCCTCCAGCCATGGGGCACTGCCAGGGAGGCAGCAGACTCCCCCAAGAAGTGTCAGCTCAGCAAACTGGCCCTTCTGTTCCCCAGGGAAGGAATTCTCCTGCGACAATAATCCAGCCTCTTCTCTGTATGGAAGCTGTTTTGACTCAGGGCACAGACCACTAACCTTGGTGACACCTCCAACCTTTATGAACCATTGTCCTCCTCTTGTTCCCACCCTCTTGCAGAGCCTTGTGCCTGTTATCCATGGGCACCTGGGAATGTGGAGCAGTCCCAGAGGAGACACTGCCACTGCAGTGCTGTGGTGGGTCTGGCTGAGCTGGGGTTGGTTTCCCATCTCGTCCCTCCCGGGGCTGTGCTTTGCAGTGGGAGCTGGAAAGGTGTTGATAACACACCAGGGGATGAGCAAGGTCCTGGGAGGGGACACAGCTGGGCCAGCTATCCCCAAAGTGACCAAAGGGATATTCCAGACCATATGACATCAGCTCAGAGGTAAAAGCCAAGGGAAGCAGGAAGAATATTGTTATTTCCAACATTTACCTTCCAGAGCAGCCACTCCATGTGCCGAAGCCCTTCCTGGGAAGTGGCCAGACATTTCTTGCTGATGGGAAGCAGAGAACAAAATGTTTGGGTTTTTTCTTTGCTTGTGTGCACACAAACTTTTGCTTTGGCAAACTACCCCATCTCAACCTGGGAGTTGTTCTCTCTCCCCCACCTGGCTGAGAAGGGGACAGAAGCTGAGAAGGGGGACTGACAGAGTGGCTTAGTGAGCACCTGGTGTCCAGCCAAGGTCAAACCACCCCAGCTGGGCAGGAACTGTCACTATTGCCCCCAATCCCTTCAGTCACTGTATTCAGCCAGGGAGAGAGAGAGAGGATGTGGAATCCTGCAAACCATGTGTCCCATCTGCATGGTGGGCCTGTCCCAGGGAAAGGCAGGCTGTGATTCCAGTAGCTGCTCTCTCTCTCATACTACCTGATACTCCTCAGCCTGCTCCCCTCCTCCCAGAGCTCCCAGGTTCCCCCACACCAGGACACTCTCCCCATGCCTTGTACTGCACTAGAGCACTTGGCTGTGGACCTGGTGGCCCTGGCTCTGCTCACTTCAGTGACCATGATGAATTCCCCCCCCCTCTTCTCCAAGGAGGGAACACCTAATTCCTTCAGTGCTTCCTCACAGGGCAGGTACTCCAGCCCTTTGATCACCTTCCTGACCTTCCTTTGGACCCTCTCTTGTCCTTCTGCTTCTTTCTTGAACTGTGGGGACACGAACTGGACACGGTGCTCCAAGTTCCTTCCACAGGCTCTAGTGGAAGGTGTCCCTGCCCATGGCAAGGGGGTTGGAACCAGATGGTCTTTAAGGTCCCTTCCAACCCAAACCATTCTGTGACTGGAGGTGCAGCATGACAGGTGATGAGTAGGATGGGAAGATCCCACTCTGTCCCCACAGATGCAGCCCAGGACCCCATCTGCCTTTTAGCCACAGCAGGCACTGCTGACTCATGATCACTCCTTGTCCACCAACATATTTCGACCTATACATTTCTGCTTTAGCAGAGATATGATTCACTGCAATAAAATTATATCCTCTGAGTTTTTCCTCACTTGCAGAGGAGATTATTTTTAGGAACTCCCAGCATTTCGCTTACAGAGAAGGAACTAGTAGTGTAGAATTTCTTTAATTTCTCCCCAAAAGTCAAAGAAATACAGCATGTTTGCCTGTTCACTTGCTCTATCCTTTGGCAGTAAGGGATAAACTTAAAAGGCTGGGTTTTTTTAAGGCTCTTGCTATCATTAAAGCACCAGTTTTCTGAGATAGAACAACCTCTTTGAAGATATGGTATTTACTGTTTTCTGATGGTATTAATTGCAAGACCTGTAAGCTCACATGAGCTTACTGGACACAGCCAGACACACACTACTAGGAGGAATCTTTTTTTTATTTTTTTAAGTTGAGACATGTCTTAACCATGTTTCCATGACCAGTGGCCACGCAGGCATTTTTAAAACAACCTCTGGTGTGTTCAGGTATTCACTTTTTCTCGCTAGCCAGACTTCAGACAATCACAGAAGTCTCTTGTTACTTTCAAGAAAACAAAAATATATTTGCAGAGGAAAAAAGTAAAGCAGGGGATACATTTTAAATCATATTAAAGTGTTGTGGTGGAGAGTCCTAGGCATCAAGTTTGCCTGTTTTCCTTAGAAGAAAAATATCTAGTGGCTGCAGTACCTCAGTACCAGAAAGAATATCCTACAGAAGTGGTGTAATATGTTCTTCCAGGAGTTGATACGATGGATATAGAATGGAGGCCTCTCTCCCACAGGCAGTGACTTTACAAGCAGTGTGAGAAGCACTGGCCTGACACAGAGTCAGCAGATTTGTAGAGGAATTGAGGTGTAATTTCAGTGTACTGTGTTTAAATACAGAAGCCACGCAGCTTCTATTGAGTTTTAGCCCCGGTTGACCTTAGTGTTGTCACACACATGCTTCAGTAAAACCTGCCTGTTGGTGCTGTGTTACTTCTGTGTGGTCAGAAATCAACCTCTTCCCAGAGAGGTCGGAATCTGAAATGCATTTGAATTAATGGTGGAGGACAGAAGAAGTGTTGAAATGAAGATAAGACCCCTCAATGCATTTTCTGTGGTGCACATGAAAAATCAAGACCCACATTCAGACAAAATGAGTTTTTTGAGGGGTGCTGGAGCCCAGTGAAGTGTTGTTACAGCTGACACCTGGTACAAAAGACAGACTTAAGCTGTAGGAAAAGCAGTTCTGTATTCAAGATGTAAGGGATCCTGATTGGAGTCTTGCACCTGCCCTTTATGAATGTTTGCAGAAGTAAAACATGTATTTGCCAGAATGTATGAAAGAAATTTGTCATGGACCAAAAAGGGAAGAGAAGAACAGGTATCAGGGAAAGTCTCAGTTGATGCTTTGCAGTGTCAAGGAATTGCACACTAGAAAGGCAGAGTTTGGCTGAGTTTTAGGGTGGCTGTGCTGTGAAGAAAAAAGCTTGTAGAGAAAGCAATTTGCATTTGGAAAAGAGATTATTTTACAGATATTGGTTCAGGTTGATAGTCATTCCCTGAATAGCATCTGGTGTATTATCTCAATAGATCTTGTTATCTCCCACAGAAATGAGCCAAGAAAAGTATCTGTAGTAAGATTTGAAAATAACCTTTGTTATTATATGTCATTAACTCAGAAGAATCAAAATACGTGGCCACCAATGACAATGAATAAGAACAATACAATTTCTTGAGCAGTCTGTTCCATGCATTTCCAGTCTCTAGAATAATAATAACAAAATAATAAAATACAGCAATTTTATGAGCATTTATCATTTGCCTGGGCTGTGCAGCTAATGAGACAGAAAAAGCATGAAGAATTTGTATGGATGAACTCCATTTACCCAATTTCCAACTCAAACATAATGACAGGAAAAAATAAGCAATGTGTGCATAAAGCTGTGTGTTGGGTTTTTGCTTTTTACAGTTCCTGTCTTGCAGCAGCCTGGGCTGAGTCATTATGGCACACAACAGGTATGTGCTCCTGTCAGCAGCAACCATCACCCTTGTGACATTTCTACTGCTTCCAGCTGCTGGGGGGGGCGAGAGGAGGAAGATGTCAGATCCTCTTCTCGGTCACAGAGGAAAGGAGGCAGTAAAAAAAGATGTCTCTTACATCATTTATTTGATTCCGTTCTCCGTTTGTCAAAGCAGCGCAGCACAAAGCCCGCGTGGGTTTTCGTGAAGCTCTCTGGCATCTGCTGGGCTGTAAGCAGGCATTTAAAACCTCAGTAAACAAGGATGGCTTCCTGCCTTTAGCATGTGTTTTGCTGAATCACGGGGCAGCAGGAATTCCTACATTTAAGGTGGTGCCAGTGTCTCTTCCAGAAAGCCAAATTTTCAGTCGCATTTCTTTAACTTACGTTGGAGAGAAAGTAAATAAAACCTCGGAAGCAGGTTCAAAAAAAAGGTCATGCATTCAGTTTTGAGTTATCTGCCTTGACGTTGCTCAGCCCTAGAAATAACATTCACTTTTTGGCAGAACTCTCTCTGACACAGCACAACACTAAGTCATGTTCCTACTTGGAGCATTAGGAGACCAGACATCTGTTACCTTGTTTGGGTTTTGTTGGTTTTTTTTCAGATAAAGACAGGAAAAGCAACGCTGACAAAATGTATTAACACGGGACAATCTCAGTGTTCCCTTTAGCTGTGCATTTTAAATGGCTGAGTAAAAAAAAACAAAACCCTACAGCATAACAACAAAGCAGCCCTGAGGTAAGATTGTCACTGAGCACTGTTTGAACTGCCTAGAGGCAATACAAAGTCTTCTCAACCAGCTGCTGGAAGTTATTGGAAAATTAATTGTCACTATATAATTGGCATTATATATATTATGTTGGGAGTGTATATATATATTGGCAATTGGGGTTTTTTTAGACAATTGAGCACTATTAGAGTCTGAATAAATGCTGTAGCTAGAAGCTGGTATGTGTGTTAATCCAAATGTGGTTGGTATGGCATCAGCCAGTGGACCTGTACCTTACAGTTAGTGCTCCAACCATTTCCTACTCTTAAGAAATAATGATAGCATGGGAGTTTCTTTTTTTTCCAAATTCAGTTTTCATCACCGTCGTGCTGTTAATGCAAAGAATTGCACAAATAGAAGGAAAAATGCAGTTACAAGTAAATGAAGAAAACATTTACAGCTTCTCTGATTTCCAAATGAGTAAACCATTTTTTTTCTTCTGTATAATGAAAACGAGAAAGGCAAGGGCAAGGGTATTCAACTTGTTCTACTCACGAAAAATTAAAGGAATCCTCAGAAATGAATTTTCCTTTCACGGTAAGAGGCAAAAAGTTCTCATATCAGTAGTGCCAATATTATTAAGCTGGGTGTTGCAGCAGTGTTTCATTCTCTGAGTAGTTATCAATTGCCACCACGTTTCTCTACTAGGTGAGTTCTGTTTGTTCGTGTTTCTCCTTTCATTTGGTCATTTATTTCCTTGAGAACTGAGCATAGCAGGAGAGGAGATACTGTTCATCCATGGAATGCCATCCCATGGAGATCCATCGTAGTTGCACGGTCAACTCTTTGTAACTGAGACATTATTTTATGTGTTTCTATTAAAAGAATTTTTAAAACAAATCCAAGCTGGCACGGAAATACATGTTTTTTTCATAATGTCAGCAAAATAAGATTGTAAAACTGTTCCTTATTTGCTTGGAAATTAGAAATAATACAGAACATGCAAGTTTTTAATCAGAACAGTAGCTAACAGATCAGACACCAGATCATTTCGGTTGTCATTGAATATTTGAGTTTCTGAATATTTCTTTTTTGGATTCACATGGGGCAGACAGACACTTGTTGCTGGATCAGATCCCCTGAACCCTGCTTTGCAGACTGCTGGCTACCTGAAGTAAGCCTGAAAACCAAAAATTTTAGTCTAGATCTGAGAAAAATTCCTTGTTTTCATGTTCGTATTCTGTAGGTCAATGTCTGACAGATTTTACCAGGCATTTCGCCGAAAACTTACAATCAGCTTCAGTTGTACATAAGTTCAAGTAGTGCATTTTAACTCCATTTAACTTAAACCTGCCACTAAACTGAAAATAACAACTCCACAAAACAACAAACTGACAAACAAACAAACCCAACAAACAAACAAAAAAAACCACAGCCAAAACTCAAATCTCTCAGTTCTTCCAAACTGCAAAATTCTAAAAATAACAAAGCCCTTTTATTGTTAGAAGCCTGGGAAGAAATGAACTTATTACCAAGGACTGGTGGCCACCAGATGTTAGGGCTTTTTTAACTGCTAAATGTTTCTATAGAAATACAAGATAAATGTCTTTCAAGCATTGTTTTAAGATTCTATCCTTTTAGCACTGCATTTTATTCATCTTGTTTTATTCCCCTCTCTCTTTTTCCTTATATTATTATTATTTAATTTATTTCAACTATTGAAATGTTCTTATCTCAGCCCGTGGGTTTTGCCTTTCTCCAGTTGTCCCCATCCCACTGGGGTTGAGGGGTTGGGGGGTGAGGGAGCAGCTGCCTGGGACTGAGTTGCTGGCTGGGGTTAAACCACACCACCAATGAACAAAGCAATGTTTTACAGCTTGTCACAGGTAATTGTGGTGCACTTTACGGGGGATTAGTTAAACAATTTCTCTTCCTGTAGGGCTGTGAAGTTGGCAAGCAGCAAAGAAGAACTCTTCTGCAAAGTCTGCCAGTGCAGCTACTGTTTATAGTAATAGAGTACTGGGAGTATTTTCCATTTGCAAATCAGCAATTGGAACAATGAAGTAATTTTAAGTTATGCTGTTCCTAAATGTGCCTGTTGCACAGTAATTACTGCATCATCACCTGCAACATCTTGCAGTGCTAGAAAATGAAAACCATTATCCTAACAAGTTTTTTGCAGGATTTCTCATTCTAGTTAGCTAAAGGACGTGCAGAGTGATCCTGCTGCTTCATGAAAATCTGCTTCTACACCCAGAATTCTTCTCCTCCTACTCAGATACTCTCCAGTAATATTTAAAGAATTTGTTCCCAAAACACATCACTATAATGACCAAAGTCTCCAGCCAATATGAAACACAATCATTTGGTCACAGAAAACTTTTCCTGGAGGCAAGTATATAAGCTCTCTCTCTCTTCTCAGCAGATATTTAAACTTAGTCTCTAAGTAGCTTGAGAAAAATTTTTTTAAAATGTCTTTTGGCAATGCATCATACTGAAGGTAAGATTTCCAACTGCATTCCCAATGACCTCCTTCTTCAGCACTGAAAGTGGTGGGAATTATCCATGACCCACACAGAAAGTGCTCCGTGTACCTCCTGTCACAGAAATAGTTTGTACTCATGGGGGGGTTGACTGTGGCCAAGGGCCAGATGTCCACCCAGCCACTCCCACTCATGGAAGCAGAGAATCACAGAACATTCCAAGTTGGAAGGGACCCACCAGGATCATCCAGTCCAACCCTCAGCCCTGCACAGGCCCATCCCAAGAGTCCCCCCCTGTGCCCCAGAGGATCATCCAAACCCTCCTGGAGCTCTGGCAGCCTTGGGGCTGTGCCCACTGCCCTGGGGAGCCTGGGCAGTGCCCAACCAGCCTCTGGGGGAAGAACCTTTGCCTGAGATCCAGAGCAGAGTTTGGAGCTGCCCCTCCACTGCCCCTCGGGAGGAAGCTGCAGACCCCAATGGGACATCCTCTCAACAGGACAGGCAGCTCAAATAAGATTAAAAAGCTCATGGGTTGAGATAAGGACAGGGAGACTACTTGTGAGTTACTGTCGTGGCCCAAGCATGCTCAGCTTGGGGAAAATTAATTCAATTTATTGCCAGTTAAAATAGAGTCAAATTAGAAACAAATAGAGAAAATTAA